ATAATTATAAAGTAAATATCACATGACTGCAAAGCAAGAGTCTGATAAGTTAGACATATAACATAAGGCCTATCCCCTACCCTTGTATAATTCAGAGGCTCCCTCCCCTACTGTGATGAACAAATATCCCAATATATTACTAATGACTAGTTAATTAGATATGGCCTTATATTTCTTATTATTCTATAATTATTCAACCTCTAGAAGTTTAAAAAATATATCTACTGAAGTATATTAGTTTTATATAGAGAGAACCTCTTTAGATAATATTATAGATAAAAAGAAAGGACACTTTATTTATAAGATTATTCAAAGAATCTAGAGATACTATATACTAAAATATAGATTAGCCTTTATATATTAATATAGATTTATTAAAGTATCTCAGTTATCGAGCAGTAATATTTTATTTATATCTAATTATATATTTATATTAGTATTATATTTTAGCTAGATTAGGATTACTTAAAGGATCTTAATCTAATTCTATTATATTAATTATATTTTTAAGCTATGCCTCAACTAAGGTAGAAATAAATTATTAATTAACTAAGCTTAAAATATCAGGCCTTATCTGGATATTATATAGGATAAGATATGTAATAGATACTTAAAAGATAGGTATTTATATTTATATTAATTATACATAACAGTTAATATTATAAAATAGACTAGCCTTTCTATCTTATTATCTAATAATATTTGATATATACCTACTTAATATTTTATTTAGCTATATTTATATAGTAATAATCTATTATTATAGCCTACTATTATTAGTATTATTTTATTAGATAAGTTTAAGTTATAAATAGCTAAGAACTATTTAATAAATTAAAGATAGTCTAAAGTTATATAAATATTTAATAAGAACTTTATAATTAAGTACTAGTTACTTTATTACATATAATTCATAATAGCTTACTCTATATAGTTAATAGATTTCTTTATATACTATATATATTACTTTATAATACTTTATAGATAGCCTATAATAGTAATAGATATCCTAGGGCTAGATAAATAATAAGCTTACAAGAGGACTAGTTTTTTATTATTTTTACTACTAGGTAAAGTAATATATATACTGCTATCTTAAATACTAAAACAAAGTAAACTAGGAATTATTTATTATGTATTCTATAACTAATTATTACTCTACTAGATACTAGAACTTTTATATAGTTATATTAGTAATTAATAAGTTTATAAAATAAATAATAGCTATTCTAGGGTATTTTAATTAAGCTATTTATAAATAGATAATATCATTATTAATAGTACTAGACTAGGGTAACTAGGACATTCTAAAATATATTATCTTAGGTAGAGATCCTAAATTTATATTAGAAATTTAGAAATGTTTATAGAATTACCAGTTAACTATAGATATTATTAATAAACATACAGAATTCCTATATACACTAATATTTTAATTAAATAATACAGGAATATTAAATAGCTACTTCCTTAAAAAGCTATTCTAATATGATATCAATAGGTATGTATATGATTTTAATGAGGTCTATAAGATATATAATAATATCTAGTAGTTATTATTATTATACGAATAGTATTTAGACCTCTACATTGCTTATAGCTTAGGTTAAAATATAAAAGGTGATGGGAATCTCTTAGTATTGATAAGATATATATAGGGTAGTTACCTAGCCTATCTTCTACCCTTATATAATTTAAAGACTCTACTCTTTATTATAATATATAATTATCCTATCTAGTAGTATGTCTAGTTAAGTAAATATATAATATTTATTTTTTAGAAAGGTCAAAGACCTTAGTAAGGATTTAATCTAGTTAAGGTAAATTTAAGAAATATAGTTCTATAACTACTAAGAGTATTATTAATACTATAGATTTAATAAATACCTTATATTAATTATTTATAAGCTAGTAACTATTCTAGATTAATTATTTTTAATCTTTTAAGATTAATCTATATATCTATAATAGTAATAATTTTATTATAGAATATTTTTTAGCTCTTCCCTACTATAATATTATAATTATATATATATTATAGACCACCCTAGGTCTTTTAAAAGTAACTAATAATATAGTTAAATATCTAATTATAAAGAATAAGATAATTTGAATTATTAAAATTCTTTTAATAGCCTTAAATATCATTAATAATTATAATCTTAATTTCTATATCTAATTTAACTATTATTCTTTAATAAAATAGATAATACTTAATCTATAATTCTTATATAGAGACGTTATAAACCTAGTTTATTAACAATAATAATAGCTTTAAGATAGACTGTACTTAACTTCAATATTAGTTTAATCTTACTATCTAAGGTATAACCAATAAGAGTATATAGATTAAAGTAAACTAGATATATAATTTTTTAATTAAATTTCTATAGAATAAATATCTATAGAATAAATATCTATAGAATAAATATAATTATAATTATACTTATCTAGCTAGAGGTAGAAAAGCTATAATTATTATTTTAATTTTTAATTTTAATTTTCTTTCTTCTATTCTTTCTATAGTACATAAGCCATATTAAAAGATCTCTAACCCAGAATCTATCCCTATATATAATAGTAAGTATAGTAAAGATGCTATAATAAAGTAGCTTTAATAAATTAATAATTATTTTTATAATAAATAAACTGTTAAAAGAATACTACTAAACTTAGAAAGATTATAATAATTAAGTATTATCTTATAAGCTAGGCTAAAGAGTAATAAATACTTATAAATAAAAGATTAAATATAATTTAATAGTTACTATTACTACTCTAGATACTTTTAAATACTAGATCCAAGATAAAAGATATAAAAGAAGAAAATAAATAATTAAATTATATAATTTTATACTACTTCTCTAGTTAAAGCTATCAAATATATTAAATCTAGAATCTCTAATAATATATTAATTTAGAAGTTTATTAATAATTTAAAACCTATTCTATATACTAGGTAGAAGATTATAGTAACTTAACTACTTTTAATAATATAGTATATTATATTATCAAATATAAATAGAGGTTACTCTATATACTTAAATATAACTTTAATCTTTTAGTAAAGTTAATAATTATTAAATAGATCTAATAAATATTAGCTTAAATATTATTACTATATCTCCTAGTCATCTAAGAAAATAAATATATAAGTAAAAGGTCTAGTATTAAACTAATTAAGTTTATTTTAAGGAGAATTAGCTATTAAATATTCATTATTTCTTTATTAAGCCTCTTAAATAGTAGTCTATCTCTATAAATTATTAGATTATAGTTCTAGTTATATATTTATATTAAAATATCGAGCTAATTTATTACCTCCCTTATAGCTTTAATCTTAAAAGATAAATATCTAAATAACTATAGATTTATCTACTAAATAGTAAATTTATATATATATTATATTAAGTTTAAATCCTCTTTAGATTAGATAAATAGTACTATATTATTACTCCATAAATTCTTAGCTAAAATATTTTAACCCTAATATTAAAGTAATACACGGTTATCTTGCTCCCTCCACACTGATCTTACCAGTTGACCTTGGACCTTGATGGCCGACCTTGCATATTAAAAGCATATTTAATAAATATTTAGGGTAGTGATATAGTGACACTCTCTGGGGATACAGCAACACCTCCCTTACCTAATTAGGTATATAAAAGTTATGTAATTGCTGCAAAAGTGGATTCTCCTAGGCATGTAATCTACTCTGTATGCCTTAGGCTTAGTACTAGGACGTAGGACATAATAGTAGGGCATTATAATTAACCTGGTGATGTTATTTTCCTATAGTATTAGTAATCCTAGGCTTATAATTACTTGCTATAGTACCTTTAATGTAAGATTATAAAAGCCTAGATATTAATACTTTAATGAGGAAGATGCGGGTTATAGATATAGCTATAGGCATAGCTATGGGCGGAGCGCTGGAGGCATAGTAGTAGGCGGAGGTAGACATAGGTAGGGGTAACTATAATAAATAGCATTACAGCCAGCATGAAAGCAGTATTTAATTCTTAATAGTGGAAATCTAATATAATTTATTTATATACTTAGAAGGAATTAAAATTGCAAATCCTATCAAGCAAATCCTATCATTAATTTTATATAGCAAATTGAATTATTTTTATCCTCTGCTAAGTCTCTGTTGAATCTGTGGTGATCATATCATTCATATGACTTTACTTACCTAATAGGTAAGGGGGGTGTCGCTGTACGGTATCGGTGTCGCTGTATCATAACCCTATATTTAATTAACTTTATGAATATTAGTTATCTGAGAGTTGCCGAGTATTCTGTAACCCAGTGATTAGTTCTCCTTACTTGGGCAATATATGGTTATCTTGCTCTGTTCACACTAATCTTACCAGTTGACCTCGGAACTTATATGGCCGACCTTACATTAGGTAAAATAGCTATCTTACTCCCGTCATGCTGATCTTACAAGGTGTATCTATAGAGTGACCCTATATATATGTACACCAGCAGTGCCAATCTGCAAAGATGGCTGCTGGTAGATAGTTAATACTCACTAGGAGCCCCTGGTATGGCCTAGCCTGGTACTGAAATGGAGCCAGGAATCAATCAATCAATATTAATTTACAGGCTCTACCTTAAATTATAATGATCACTATCATACCCTTCTATCTAGTTTATATGCATTACCAGCATTAGGCTCTTCTTTGGTTTTCATTGATAGCGATATTACTATAAGCACCTGATATGCCATCCCTACTTATATTTCTAAGGAGCAAATAGGAAAGACAACTGACTATCTCCCCCAACATACAGCATCAGTTATACTATGTTATCTCAAAGTGCTTCAGGAATGTCAGTTTTAAGAGCAATAATCCAGTAAGATATACTAGAGCTGACAGATCCCCATCAGTATAGAAGACACACTCATTGAACATGTAAAGGGACATGAAAGTCACCTATCCCTATCTATAGAGCCCACATTCCGTAGTCTGATCCATATACAGCCAACGATCCGGTCAAGCTTCGACTCGAGAGAAGAAGTATAGATAGGCAAACTTTTTCATATCCTGAATATCATCGACTCCCACGACTTTTTCATCATTAAACATAACCCAGGAAGGATTATCCCTGCCCGGCAGCTTCTTCCGCACAAATGCAACATAATGTCTGTTTGTTCTCAGTTGGCAATTCGATAAATCTGATAGATCGAGATCTCTACTCACCCTGCGTGCACTGATGTACCTTTGTGGCAAACAATGGCCCGAAGTTGGTATCTAGCCGGGGTTTCATGAAAGCCAGGAACATTACTATTAGCGGGAAGCCGAGAACCAGAGTCACAATCACGACTGTCATATTCAGGCATCTCGTCGGGATGACTGAATACCCAATCGAGAGCTCGATCCACATCGCCCCCTGTCGCAGCCAGTGCTCTTTTGGCTCGATCCTCATCGATACCCATTTCACTCAGTTGAGCTATTTTCGAGGGATCCTGTAGGGCCATGTTAGCGGGGCCGGTAACCTTGCTGCCCACAAGCGGTATATCGATATCTGGGTCATCCATATGAGAGAACAACCAGTTCATGGCAGCTTCGGTATCTGAATTGCCGGTCGCATGTAGCGCCTTTTCACATCTAATTCTGGGAAAGCCCATGGCAAGAAGCTGGTTTAAGATGTTCTGATCAGGCGAGAACCCACTATCGGATGGATCGTCTTCCGGTAGGAGCTTTTCGCCTTCTTCCTTCATGGAGCCAACATATGGGCTGAAATCTAGTGGTTCGTCGCTGACATCCACTGGGATGTCCAATTTCCTCGGAACCCAATTAACGACTTCGAATCGTCGGGCGTTTAGCACTAATTCCTGCGGCATTGTCCTAAACGACGAACGCTTCGAGAACCCATTGTTGCTTCCACAAGAGGGACAGCTGAGCTCAACGATTTCATTAGCAGTGAAAACATCGAGACATTCAGAGAAAGTCACTGTTTCGAACTCCAAATCCGCAGAGGGGTCCGTGCTATTTCTGCCCAGCTGTCGACGCACTGGAACAGGAATAGAGACGTTGTCTTGCTCATCTATTCTGTAACGGACTCCTTTGCAGGACAGACACTGTAGACGCTGCTCGACAGCGAACCGAAAATTTTCAATGGGGTTGCCTCTGCCCTCGGGGCTTTGGGAGCGTTGAATCAGCTTAAACAAGTGAAGCAAGAACTCAAACGCATCTTGTTGTCTCATGGTTGAGAACTCTTCATGACCACGACCGATAAGATGTTTAAACATTGCTGGCGATAACCCTTTCTGGTGGGGCACCTCGGGAGAATCAGGCGAGGCAATCACGTCTGCATTGGGCTTTGAGTAACGCCCAGAAAGAATGCCATCAGCGAGCTTTCTCATCTGCGTCTCGAAGTCCTGGGCAGGTTGTTGGGATAACGGTGGCTCTTCGTTGCTATGGTAATATCTTCTTTGGAACTCCGGCGAGGAGAAGAGGCATTGCACCACGCTCGAAAGATAACAGCTATTTCCTAGATTGGTCAAACCTGTAAACCCAGGCCCGAATAACGGGGTGAGCTCGTGGCCATCCGCAGATGTGGTTGAGAACTCCCATTTCATGTTGTGTTCAACCTGCATCTCCATGAGGCTTTTCTCCGTTTTTTCGCGCGCGCTCAGATTGATTCCCCAATGAGCAAGATGAGCGGCAAGGTCGGGGTCTGTCCTTTCTTCATTGCACTTGTAGCAGTAGATATCCGCGCTCCCATCGGCGGTTATTGAGCCAAGCTTGACGGCAACCGCATGTGAAGTTGAGTCAGAATGCGCAAGCGCGTGTGAATTTCCTCCCAAACCCCCGAACTGACTGCGTCCGCAACCAAGGTTACCACACTCCAAACAAAGCCAAAGGTTCTCCTTCAAAGTACACATCGTGCACTGACTCAGCTCTGCGTACCTTGGTTAGCAGAGAATCGGACCCGCGAGGAAAACCATACCTTGAGACTCAGTCTGCTTAGGGGTTTGTTGCACTAAGCAAAGCGTATGCTCGCATGGGACGAACTCTTGCTCCCAAGCTTTAATCTCTTCTCTCTTAGAGAACGTCATGGCCTTCATTACCCCATCTACCACGACTGCAAGGTTGCCACTGGATGCATCGATGTCATCCAAGCGGCACTCATAGCAAACGACTCGTATTGCTGTGTCGTAGCGATCTTCATCCGTCTCTGCAGCAATCGCGAGCCTTGAGATTTTCTGTGGAGGTTCGCCACGCTATTATTTTATGTTACCATGACACCGAACATTGTAAGCATTGCGAGTAGGTATGGCCCTCAACGCACCTGTATCTTCTTTCGCGACCTCTTGATGTTCAGTGCTAATGGATGGCAAAAGCGCTTGTAATGAAGCAAGGCATGGTTTCGATCTCCTGTACAGCCGCCGTTGAAACAAATGAGGCATACATTTAGGCCAGTCTCCTCATCCTTGGGTAAGATTAGCCCTGGCTGAACACGCCAAGAAGGGAACAAGCGACGAACCACAGAGTCAAAACATTGCGTACACTCTTCGCGATAGACAGCTTGGGATTCAGATGGCGGTTGCAAAGCTTTAAGAGTCCGAGTTAGAATTTAGCTAGTATCTGGACTTTATATACTTGCCCTGCGAGCTACTATGAGGGCATTGAGCCATTCTCAATATGTCCAATGATAATCTTGACTCGATCGACATTAGCTGTGATTAACGTATCATCAAATCAAAAAGAGTAAGCAACTGACTTCTGATGAATTTATAGCAAGATGTAGGACAACTCTTGCTCTTTTCTAGGTTTAGCAAAAGATGTGTAGATTGTGACGTGAGGCGATATACTTTACCTCAGAGCACCACTGAGCACCACCTTGCAACATCCTTATCAAGGTGGGGTGCTATGTAACCTGATCAATTAAATAATCAAGAACCACCACCAATAATAATAAATAATAATGATAAACTTGGATTTATTGACTATGGAATAGATAGAGTAGATAGTTTATGATTTTGTTCCTGGCATGCTGGCCTAGTTCATATTATAAAGTCCTGAAGAAGGTTCTCTATTTCGATTATCCTTTACTCCAAGCATGTGGTCTTCAATATTAAAGAGTTGATCCCATTCATATTTATAGTCCCAGGAATATCAAAATGTCCTAGGAATCATTGATTGTTATTATCCGAAAAAGGACTGCTGAGTACAGGTAGTAATCTTAGTTTTTATTGCCTAGATTTAACCTCTGCCTGTCAGTGAGCTCCGTAGAGAACGTACCTTAAAAGGAGTAGGAAGGCACATGCCTAGGTAGAAACTACCTATGGAGATGTAACCATTGCTAAGTGCTATCCTAGTTAACCTAAGTTGCAACTAGTGTAATTAATACCTGATAATAATGCTGTTTTGATTGACTTCTTAAGTTCCTTACCATGCACAACTAGGTATCTCAAGGTGCTCTGTGKGTACTACTACCTACCTAGTAGGCTACAGCCTAACAGGGTACAGAGTGCCTTGCAGCGGGCCCTACCAGATAGGGGAAGTAATTGGACCATACCTTACCGCCTATCTAATAGCCACTCAACGCGTCAGGGATGCTTTACACAAAATAGCACCCGACGCGTTAGACCAATACCTATTGCCAAAGAGTGTTTTCACACATGTATCTTTAATAAGGTATCTTCCTCCTTCTGCCATCAGCTTCAGGAAAACGAATACTAGTTTGAAAAGTGACATATATTTGTATCCCTGTTCTCTTTCTTTTTCTTCCCATTCACAAACTAGTTACCAAGATACCTGCACATATATTCCGTTTGGCTACGAGCAATCCAGCAACATTTGCTTGCACGATGGCTCTCGATGCAGCATCTCAGATCTCAGTCGGGGCGCTCAGGTAAGCGAGCTCTTTTATCTTACCCTTGCCAGCAGACCATCCTTTCTCTTTCCCTGGGCTGGCATATCAGCTAGGACAAGAATTTACTGATACGTTTTCAGCGCCATCTTTGATGAAACCAAACCCCAAATCCATGAACCTATCGTCCAGTGTGTTCAGATTAAGCCTTTGCCTCCCCAACCAAACCATCAAGAGCGGTACAGAGCCGTGTTCAGTGATATCTCGAATTATGTTCAGACCATGCTTGCAACACGTGAGTAGAGAGGACCGGTGACGAAATGTCATCTATGACTAATTAACACGTTGTATGACAGAAGCGAATCCACTCGTAACGAGTGGCGTGCTAAGGAAGGGGTGTTTTGTCCGTTTGAAGTCGTTTCAAGCAAATTCTGTCAAAGGGAAAAAGTTGTGGATCCGGAAACCCCAAATTATACACGCGGCTAATATTATCATAGAATTCTCATAATCTTGGATCTCGAAGTCTTGCAGGAACTCGGCGAAGCAGAGAAAATCGGAGAACCGAAACCTTTGGAAAATAAGTTGGAAGAGGATGAAAAGCCCCAACCCACTACAATCTCCAGCGGTGGATTTTATGGCTCCAAGGTCCAAAATCAGCGAGGGGAACCTCGCGTACAGCCTGCACGTTCCTCTTTGACATCGACCCATGCCACCATCTATCCGATCGAAGCTATCTCTCCTTATTCACATAAATGGACGATCAAGGCGCGTTGCACGAGCAAATCAGCAATCAAAACCTGGCACAACAGAAACTCTGAGGGTAGGCTATTTAGTGTCAACTTACTCGATGACAGTGGTGAAATCCGTGCCACTGGGTTCAATGAGCAGTGCGACCTGCTCTATGATGTTTTTCATGAAGGAAGCGTGTACTATATATCTAGCCCCTGCCGGGTTCAGATTGCCAAGAAGCAATTTACCAATCTGAACAATGACTACGAACTCACATTTGAGAAAGATACAGTTGTTGAAAAGGTCAGTGAATTTTTCAAGCGCAGTTGCATCTGATAAGCTTACAATTTTTTGGTTTAGGCTGAGGATCAGAGCGATGTTCCGCAAGTTCGGTTCAATTTCACAACCGTGGGCGATCTACAGTCTGTTGAGAAGGATACCACCATTGACATTATTGGAGTGCTAAAAGAAGTTGGGGAGACTAGTCAAATCGTATCAAAGACGACGAGTAAGCCCTATGACAAGCGAGAGCTTACCTTGGTCGATAGCTCGGGTTTTTCTGTTCGTCTAACCATCTGGGGCTCCACGGCGTTGAATTTCAATGCCATGCCAGAGTCTGTAATTGCTTTCAAGGGTGTCAAAGTCTCTGATTTTGGAGGACGAAGTCTCAGTTTGTTGAGTTCTGGCTCAATGACTGTCGACCCTGACATAGAAGAAGCTCATCGCCTTAAGGGTTGGTATGATGCTCAAGGCAGACACGAGACGTTCACGTCACATGCCACAATGTCCAACGCATCCTCGTCTGCAATGAGATTGGATCACTTGAAAACAATCGCACAAATACGCGAAGAACAACTGGGGATGTCAGAAGATGCTGTCTACTTCTCGCTCAAAGGGACTGTTATTTATATAAAGCAAGACAACATGTGCTACCCTGCTTGCCTATCMGAAGGGTGCAACAAAAAAGTGACAGAACTTGATCCCGGCCAATGGCGGTGCGAAAGCTGTGATAAAACTCACCCACGTCCAGAGTATCGATACATCATGCTCATCAATGTTAGCGACCACACTGGCCAGCTCTGGCTTAGTTGCTTTGATGAGGTCGGGAAACAGTTAATGGGCACGTCTGCGGATCAGTTGATGGATCTTCGCCAAAATGGAGAAAAGGCCGCTGGAGACATCTTCCAGGAAGCTAATTGCCGAACTTGGAACTTCAGATGTCGGGCTAAGCTTGATCATTTCGGAGATCAGCAACGGTATGTATCTGCTATTTGGTTACCAATATTGAACCTACCGCTAATGACATCTTAACTAGCATCCGTTATCAGGTATCGACGGCCAAACCTGTCAACTACTCGGAGGAAGCATCTCGCCTCATGACTCTGATTAATTCATATGGCCTTTCTTGATATGCCTTGGATTGATGGTGAATTTGCCTTTCCTGGCCAAGTTCGATCCTTCCGGGGCTTGAAATGTTACATACACGATTTTAACTTTATAGACATTTGTTTGTGTATGAGTGTATAACGTCGTTCCGCTTGATTCCCAGAGATTATGACTCGAGTTCGCGAGGTCTCGCATATCACGTATGTCTTGGGTAATCAGGAAGGGTAATGCATACGAGGGCATGAAATCGGACGAAGTTACTAAACTGCCATTTCTAGGTGATATTCTTCCTGACGATCAGTCTTGTACGCTGTACCACGAAGATAGTCTTTGTGTCAGTTGGGGAGCCCTGTTCCCGTAATCACATGCTTTCCTTCTTTGATTTCCCCCTTAAAGATAACACAAAAATTACAGCAGTCTTCGGTTAGTGGACTACATAGCCCACTCATAGGTATACTTGAGTTCTTGTAGTATGTAGAGAGGTAGGCCCTGGCGGGGAGGGGAGGCTCTGGGGGTGCGGCGCTACTCAGTGGAATAAAATATTGCAGTGACATATTGGCGGCGTTGATTGGCAGACAATTTTATTCCTAGTGACCAATTTATTCCTACTAGCACTACCATAAATTTTCCTCCCCCTTCCCACACACAGCATCTCTTGATCCCGTGTCTCATTCGATCACGCTCAGTTTACATTTCTCACTTTCGTCTTCTATCTCCAATATCTGTCAATCATCTATCTGTCATTTCTCGGTCCCAGATTTCAAAACTGAGGAAAGACCAGACCACAACAGATACTGATCATGACCAAGCGTGTCCACCACGAAAGTGGCGATTACCGGCCCAAAAAGAGATCCAAGAATGAAAGAAGTGGAGAGGGATCGAAGATCTCGTCTGCTGAGGCTATTAGAAATGAACTTGGTCCTATACCAGATGCTACTTACGTCCAGTCACCAGCCCTAGGTGATCTTTCTCAGATTGAGATAGACCAGTTTCTCGCGAAGCATTGCATTAAAGTGACCGATTCTTCGGAAGCGCCGGCGCTTCGCCCCATAATTTCTTTTTCTCACCTCCCCAGCAGCTTCAGCAAGATTTATGACCCATTGAGCTCTTTCTCATCGCCGACACCTATTCAATCTGCAACATGGCCCCTACTCTTCGCCAGTCGGGATGTCATAGGCATTGCAGAGACCGGAAGCGGGAAGACATTGGCTTTCGGCTTGCCATGTATTAAGAAAATTCTGGATTCAGGAAAAGTCAAGCGAAAACATGCACGACCTGCAGCGGTCATCATTTCTCCAACCAGGGAGCTTGCAATGCAAATATATGATCAGCTTTCGAAATTTGGGGCCTCTGTGGACATCAGAGTAACATGTATCTATGGGGGTGTGAAAAAAGACGAACAACGCGAGGCCCTGAAGACTGCAGCTATCGTTGTTGCGACCCCTGGTAGACTAAAAGATCTTCAAAACGATGGCTCCGTGGATCTTGGAAAGGTCAAATACCTAGTTTTGGATGAGGCGGATCGCATGCTAGACAAGGGGTTTGAACAGGATATAAAAGACATCATCCGCTCCATGCCAGATTCAAAACGCCAAACCGTTATGTTCACTGCAACTTGGCCTCCTAGCGTCAGAGACCTGGCGGCTACTTTCATGACTTCGGCTGTGACTGTCACCATTGGTGGTGATCCTTCCGCCGATCCGCGTG